TTTGTATTTGCGACCTAGAATATCTATCGCGCACGCCCTGCCCCGTGGGCGGAGCACAGTCCTGCTACCTGCCATAAGTGTTTCCATGCCGCCTGCTGTACTCCTATCAATTTTGAACGTTTTGGGTCCTCTGGAACAGGAGTAACGAATTTGCGACCTGGAATTTCTACTGCGCACGCACCGCCTCCTGTAGGCGGAGTGTGGACTCCCACCTGCCATAAGTGTTCCCATGCTGCCCCCGCTACCGAATTTGAGCTTTCTAGGTCCACTGGAACCGGAGTTATGAATTTCCGGTCAAACACACACACCGACATACCAACAGACACACTTAGCGAATTATATAAAGTAGGATAGGATAGTTAGAGGAACCTACACTCCTTCAGCCTTGAAATTTACTCGACCAGGCGATCCAAGTGAGGCGTAAGAGGTGACTGAGATATTGTGCTTTTTGCAAATCTCGTGTAAACCGTGTTGAGGCCAATAAATATGTAGCTCGACCTGAATTACAATTTCAGTTACATTTGCTAGTACTATATGAATTTACTGGGAAAATGAGTTCATACGCCATCCTTCAGGTTGCATATCAGTGCAATAGGTATTGTACATTTGCACGATTGTAGAACGTGAATGGACTCCCCGAACGGCAGTGGACCTCTGAGGCCGTCATGCGCTGCTCATTGATGACTCCCTCATTAACGGGAAGGTATCGAAGAGAAGCTCGTGAAGGTCTCAGGGTACCGCTCCTTGGCTCTGTGAGTTGACTGTTGTTGAATGGCGGTTGTACCTGGCAGTTATGAATTGGTACTTTGGCCGACTTCATGACACGTTCGATCTGTTCGCTGCTCCAATTCGAAACGCCAATTGCTTTAGCCAACCCTTTGTTATATACACCTTCTAGACCACGCCATACATCCTGTACTGTCACAGAGTGGTTCTGAGCCGTCATGTCTTGCTGGAAAAAGTAATAAAAATTCATTACGTTTCACCTCTTCTGGAGTTGCCACTCATAGTCCTTTTCTCACCTCTCACTCAACCCTTGAATGGAACGGATCTATTCCAGAGATCACTTACATTGAAACATGTCGGGGCATGCGCTAGATATAGATCGACGTAGTCCAGTTGTAATCGACGAAGTGATTCACGAGCAGCACCTTCGACGTCGTCGGGATGGAAATGTGTGGCCCAAAGCTGAAATGGCATTTCATCAAATTACCCGGTTCTCGACCTGAAAATTGACTCTTTTAGGCCTTTTTCATTGGTCTTTTCAGAGAGCAAGTTCTCAGTGGAAGTCTCTGACCCTGCCATTCGAACCAGGGGAGGCAGAGTAACGCCAGGAACTCCGCCCTTTAAACTTTGATATCTTCGGTCCCCAATTTATGGTGCCTCTCCTTCCCTGTATGGGCTTGGTGATTCCGTTCCTTCTTCTCTTTCTTCGATTACTGACTAGTTCGTTCTCTTTCGGGTCACGTCTAGATTTTTTTCTTAATTTGGGAGGGAGCTTCGTTCTCAGCACTTCCAGCTCACTGGACTTCAGTGTCTGTCGAAGGGACATTCTAGTATCTTTATCTTTCCCGTCTCGAGTCTATACAATTTGGTTGATTAACTTATTTGATTTCAAGGCTCCCTTTTCATGAAAAGGGTTCTATTGAGATAGAGCTATATATCGTGAGGAAGCTCAACGTCATCAGGTTACAAGCGTGATAAGCTTTGGAAAAGTTTGAAGAAGTAATAAAAAGCGATAGTGCAGTCGTGAGTGTGGTACTCGGAAAACGTTCATGCGGCATTCGGTGATGGCATAAAATTTTCTGAGAACTCCGAACCGCTCATGTTATTTCATCTTCAATTTTCATCATAAAGAAGTCATGATCAATAAATAGGTTACCTTGGTAGTAATGAAAACCTCATCGCGTTTGATTTTTCCAGCTTGAATCAACTCCTTCAAAGCTTCNCAAGCAGCGGTGTCGATCAGACGATACCCGGTTTCGATGGCAGTTTTTACAGCGGCTTTTGCTTCGGCAGGAGGGGACTGAATCAAATAAAAGATATTTTTTAGAAAAATATGTTTCTGAAGTGAGAACTTTTTGGCTCTGGCTAAATCAGCTGCGGAAGCGTGCGGCACTTATGTATGTAATTCTGGATTATTCTTTGATATTTTATATAGTGGTGCAATTACAATATTGTTTACTATACTGTTTGATGATGTTTTAGTTGTTATACTATTTAAATTCCATTAATAATATTTCTGATTCATTTTTTGAGTTTTTATTTGTTTATGAATTCAGTCTATGCAACGACCCTCGTTTGCAATCTGGCGTTCGGAAGAATCCTGAATAGTTTTGGTGATTCACTGACCGAAAGCTTTTTTTCCTGAATACCGGTGTATTGATTTTAAGCTAATCACAAGCAGTGTAAAACTTTAATTACTCATTTTGACCTATTCAATTCTCTCAAAAGGGGACATGCGTTCAATAATAATAGTAATAGTTAAGTCATATAGCGAATCATAAAAACTGTCGTAGACTATTGGATTATAACGCTATTATTCACCTTTGAAAAGATGAAGAATAAAGGTTTGGTATCAATCGATCGCACTTGAGGGATGCGCCCCGCATTTGACTTCGACTCAGAATCGTAGCGGTATATCAATGTGTATACGACCTATACAAAGACTTGCGGTGTCCAGTCGTTGTACAAGCTAATGCTTCTATTCTCCCAGATGAGTCTGGTACCAATTAACCGAAGCCAGGAGGGATTTCAAGCTTGGTTGGTCAGGGCGGATATCGATCCGGGATTCGAACTCGAGAGCATGTGTGTATGATAGTGCGACGTGAGTGTTGCCACGACATTACCTCAGCCTGTGACACGCCTAACACGGAAAAATCACTGGTGCTGAGTATTAGATGGACAAGAAACACTGAATTAAATATTAGTTGGAGTGCGGTCTTTACCCAGTCATTATTTGTACTCGTATTGAAGTCGGCTATACACACGAACAGCAGACTCCAAAAGTGTAGGAGGCATTATTCGAGTAAGGGTTACAATGATTACCTTTCCATTTCTTGCACATTATATTTTTATTTTTATTAAATTAGTGTCACCGAAAAGCAAATTACAGCAATGCGCGGAAATATCAATAAAGTAGAGCCTACCAGTTTACAAAATATGTACTTATATGTATATCTATAGATGTACTCATCCATTTGTTTACCTATTTATTTTATTTACGAAAATAAAATTTTGCAGGAGTTCTTCATGAGAAACAAAAAATTCAAGTTTCAGCGATCCATGTAAAGGTATGTCAAATGCACTACAAATAATTGATGAGTAAATGGAGAAAGCCATCCATTATTCTTAGTGTTTTTCACATGTAAGTTCATTTACAAAATATTAAGTAAAGACACTGTTTTCCGAAAGCACAATTCACGATAAATACGGTTCCTAAGATTTCTTGTCTGGGATGAATCTGTGGCCATCAAAAATAGCACGTGGGATCTTATCGGGTCAAAAAATGACCTCAACAGGGCGTTATGAAGGCTCGAAAGCCGGCTTGGCTGACGCACACGCCCAAAAGTGGCCGTGTTATGACGGCCTTGTTTAGGCTACATCATTCACAACGTAACGTTAGGATGCTAGCGAATAGTACTCTGATGTGGAAGACATCCAGACGGTTACAGACACATAATCTTGTAACTTCCTTTCTCACTACTTTTTCCTGAAGCCTTATAGTTCTTAAATCTCGCCGACTTTGCGCTTTCTCGGTCATTTCGAACTGTTCTACACTATAACTTCCACTATTTTACCTAAGCTAAATAGATACCTCGGAAATTTCATGAGCTGTGCCTTTAACGATTTGTTCATGAAAATCACACACCTGCCATGTCCCCAGTCCTACTTGTGGCATTTTAATGCCGTTGGAAAGTGTGATCGTTGGTCCTCCAACAGTCATTTTTACCTGAATGTAGCACAGGTAAATCGTTACCAATTTCCGCACCTTTATAGTTGTAGTATCGAAGTGCTCAAATGAAATTGAGAACAAATGTCAAATGCAAACGGCGGAAATTCAGTATTTGTTACTGTAACTGTACCCCCTACCATCTATGATGCCCTTTTTCGCATCTATCAGGGAAGAAAAATGGAAAAGTCTACTCAGTAACTTGGCAACCAGTACACAGCATTAAATAAGCTGGAAGTTCACTCTCACAAATAGCAAATTCTCGATTTTCCTTCAAAAGCGGACATTAACTAAAAGGGCACATTCTCTCTGCTAGCCCCACCACCTCTCACTGGAAAGATTACATTGAGAAAAATGCCAATCAAAATTTTGCACTATTTGTCTCTGTACTAAAGAACAAAGGGGTATTTGAATTATTTTCCCGCGCGCGGGTACTTGAACGCGACTCTGAACGCGCCATTAAGAAATGAATGAGTTTTACTTGTAGAAGAGGGAAAGTGCAGTAGAATGAAGAGAAAATAGTTTTTCCATTTAGAAAATATAGAGGTTAGAATTTGAGGCAGTAAGGCAGTGAGTTGAAGAAGGTTCCGTAACAGAAAAGTGGAGAGCCGGCTGCAGCACTGATGTTGTATTCAAATGTCTGAGTGCGGGAAATAATTCAAACCGCAACCTTACACGATCAAACTCGTCCATCTCAAGATCACAGTGGACTGTGCCGCGTGCGACAGTTGCGGAACCTATTTTATCCACGATAAAATCGAACGTTCCCTCTTTTGAAAGCGGTCATGGTAGAGATCGGGGCTCCCAGATCATGCATGATTGGGTTTTAACATTCAACAAGGGAGCTTTCAACATTTAACAAGGGAGATTACTGATCAGAACGGCCTAAGGGATGCCCTCAGCGGAATCTTAATCAACCTTCTAACCAGGCGGCTCCCGCTCACATCTGATCAATGAAGCATAGCTTCCCTGATCGAATTAGACTTTTCCATTCTTTGACAACTTGTTGGCTGTAAATATGGCTGAATATTATCTTCATAGAACGGCTAGACATAATAGGCTAATTGTAAGTGAAGTTTCGATAACAATTTAAAAAATTTGATCGATTTAGAAAAGATTAAATTCTAATCAATCTAAGCGGTGGCAGAAAAATGCTATAAATACGTCGACGTGGCTCTTTCCCAGGAGAATGAGAGTGTAGATTCAAACAAGGGCATCAAATAGCTGACAATTATCCCCTTGACAGCAAGGGCTTTACTAGTAGAGGTTTAGATAACAGTAGAAATCCTACTGTTACCTAATGGATAGTATAAGTTGATGTGGCTATCCCGAAGATGGGAAGGAGAGCGGGAGAAAGCGTCTAACATCGAAGCATCGATTCAATATGGGGCACTTTTATGGCAGCTCGCCCAAATAGGAACGAATCTTCACTGGAAAAGGCCAGTGGTAGTTTCCAGACGTTTACAAAGCAATAACACTTAATGATACGTTGTAGTGGTAGTTCTAAACGGACAGAAACCAGTTGCCGAAAGTTTATTGCACTTTCGGATCAATAATCAGTATAAAACACATGCAAACACATCAGACAGCTGGCATCTGCAGCTGCAATGAAACAGTAAAGGGCATAGTGATAGGCTTTGTTCGGTTTTTTCCGAATACGCCACGTACTCGACTTTTTCTCGATAGTGGGAGTCGATCGTATGCCTTCACCTCATTGAATGATTTTGTGTCTAATATAATTCCGTTGATTTCTTTTTTTTTCTCGTGGAAAACTGATTGCTCCCCTAATATTGGAGAGACCGCCGTCCAACTTTGCCTTGCTTGCGCTGTCTGCGCTCTCTTACACACGCGTAGCCACTAATTAGTACTGGGGCGGGCAATCCTGTGCAGACATCAATTACTGCTTTTCAAGGCACACAAATGAAACGGTGCTTTGATTGACTAGTCTGTCATTTGTGTACCTTCTAAGAAAGTGATTTGTGAAACCATTCCAGCGACAGAAAATTCTTTCGAAAACCGTACCGTTGAAAGCCCAGGTTTTAACGGTACGGCAAATTTTAACAACTCTGAGTTCTCATCGGGCTTTCGGTTCGCCTCAGTTGTCGCGATCAATGTCAGATACCACATTCTTCTACAAAGGAAGTTTTCAAATAATACTCTTCTACGGGATTAAATACATACCAACACATGTAGTTGTATACACCGCTTAGATCTTTAGAGGAAAGCGAAAACTTAAAACTAAAGTTTCTCTCAGGCACCGCCCATATGAGACATGCTCTGCAGACAGCTGTCGATATATTGTAAGATGAACTGACCAATAGCCTTTTCGAAGAACAAGATTCTCGTTTCTTTCATGAGGGCTTTAAGTTTATATTGTAAGATGAACTGACCAATAGCCTTTTCGAAGAACAAGATTCTCGTTTCTTTCATGAGGGCTTTAAGTTTCAGAGGTGCACCGCAATAGATAGAAATGGAACTGATATCGTTCTCACCGTGAATTTGTCATCCGCCTCCCCTTTCTAAATTATGATGCAAACATCAATAACGGCCCTCGGCTTCTAGGGAGCATTCTACTTTTATGCCACTATGAATTACAATTTTATGTTTTGCAGTTCTGCGATTCGGAC